GTATTTGCAAACCGGAACCTCGACTCAGTTGCTTTATTATGTGTTTTTATGGGTTATTTGTCATCTTTTTTGTCAAGATTTATATTTAGTGCGCACGCATTTTTAGTGTTTATATTTGATATGTTTTTATGTAGATTTTCGACCAACAACGTACGACCATTGTCCACTTTAATCAAACTCTATTAAGCGGTGGTGAATCCAAGTTGCTCTAAAGTGTTAAACAACCAACCATAATTGTTTTATTTGCAAATAGTTTAGTGCAGTAGATAAAGATATTCAGCAGTGCACACATTGGCTTTGGTACGTTCTCGTGCACCGAGATAACCAAGTCCATCCATGCACCCATCCCTCTGCGGTTGACAAATTGACGCCGGACGAGTCTGGAGGATAAATAGGTAGATCCATTAAGTAATTATGTAGGCCAACGATGTGTGCAGTCATCTTTACGAGGCAGTGAGTGGAGTGAAATGCATGGCACATCCCTGAGGGATCGGTTAACGACAAATGTTTTGCGCTTTGTCACTCCTAGACTTCGCAAACCCTTAATGGTTACGTCACTAGTTTTTATCAATGGTAGCTTTGTGTTGCTTTTCCACGCTTCTTTCTTCTCTTCCTCTGGCATTCTAATGATGTTCTGAACGGTTTCCTGACTTTCCTTCGCAACGCCTCCATATTCTTTATGAGCGGCTATCCTATTTCATAACATTGTCCTGAACGTCACACAAATGCTTCACGTTACTTTTCTCATGTACCTAGTTTTTTTCTACCTTTGTCAGTTTTCTTTTCGTCTATCTCTTTTTGCTCTTACTTTTTTCTATTTCATTAATTCTTATTGATAATCGAAACCATGTAATAATATGTACTGCTTGTATAACTAACAATATATGACAGCAATAAATCAAGTGATGTTGCAGAAGTATTAAGACTGAAGTTTAATCTCTATAGATACTATTTAGCTACTCATTAAAAAAAAGGATAAAGTTCTTGGCGTTGATCAATCCCTGAGAGGTGCGCCATGGATTCTGCTTCATTAAGCATCCTTTGGAGGTGAATGAATACATATCTGGCCTTTACCATGACTCGCGGTGGTCTAACGATGTATCGAGCCAGTGCTATCATCCTTACGAACAAGTCTGGTACCAATTTTCCGACCCAGGAAGAATGGAAGCCACTGCGACACATGAGCCGTTTTACTACTCACAGTTTTTTTTTATCCAAAAATGTTACTTTAACATCAAGAAGTTCAGTTTTGTTTCGTTTTAACTTTAAAATCAAAAAACATATACAGAAATGCTAGACACATTCAAAGAATAGAAAATTTCAATTTATATAAACCATAAAAAGGAAACGACTGAATATTGAAACAAAGGAATGTCTTGATTGTCATTCTTTACGGAAAACAAGAATAACTTGTAAGGAATAACCCGGATGGTGTGGTGGTGAAGTGCGCTGCTCCCCGGTAAGGACAACAGCGCGTGTTCGTTTCCCACCGCATACACCTGCGGTCCGGAGTTTTGCAAATATCTCAGCATTGCATAACTTGTTAGTCTTAAACCTGTTGCCCTACAGTAACCACAAAGATTCAGAAGTATCACCGGACGAATAGCACGTGTCGGGCATATGGCTGTTTCATTTCCTTTTGTTTTAGTACAAATCCCCAAGCAATTCTATGGTTTTAATTTCCGCCAAAAAGCAAATGGTATTGAATAGTAGCTTACCGACATCTTTCCTAAATAAAAGAGCACCATCAAATGAGGAGACTTCACTCGATTGAAGATGCACTTCACTGGATTCGACTCGATGCGACAAGGAAAAACTACTTAGCTAGGACGATCACCTGTAGACCATCGACTCGGATCAATCCGGCTCTGAAGAAAACGAAGGCCTTGAAACGCTAGCCAAGTAAAACTTATTATCAACCTTGTGTGTGCTCAGTAGTCTAAAACAATATCGTTCCCATGTTTTCCTATAGAAGGTCGGTAGAAATACACTCGAGGGAGAAGCGAGCGAGTTAAAGAATAACTATGTAAAGAAAGAATACATTGACTTTGTCATGCATTGAAAATCACTCAGATCAGAATAGGTGCTACTATTTCGACCTCAATTCACTTTTTTCAACTATTAGTCACCTCAGCCATCAAGTAAATAGAGCTAGCAAAATTTCTCTGGAATCTGTCAATATGATAGTAGTCACCTACCAACGGTTTACCGCATCATCGAGGCTGAGAGGTGTTCTTGGGTGTCGGGCTGCGATGTGCAGCAGCTGTGCTCATCCTCCCGGCAGAGTCTCCCAAGCTGAAAATGAGTCTGGCTATTCCACTAGGGAGCCCAGCTAAGATTAAACCAATACCAGGATCCACCACCGTCTTGATATCAAACTAATCGCTTCGAAGTGAATCTCCAACTGATCCACAAAAGCGGCGCCAGCCTGCGGTAGTGACGACCTGGGTGGACTTTGGCCTGGCTGACTTGAGGTCAGGAGAAACACAATGGCTAGACAGCTGAGGTTCGCAAAAGTAGTGAGGGCGTGCCGCCCGAGTATCCAAGTAAGATAGTAATCATAAGTAGTTCACTGAGCTCTCTGCAAGCATAAATTTGCCTTTCATTAGATTTGTGAATTGCAAATTCGAGTTGTCAATCGTCTTGGAAATGGATAAATCCCTTCTGTACATCACAATTGACACGCAAGAGCGCCTCCATCAACGCCAGGGCTATTACCCACTACCCATTGTGGGATTCTATTATGAAACCAACGCTTTTTTCAACAAACGGGTCAGTTGTTTAATTAAATTTGTTGCTTACATGTCTATTTAAACACCTCTAAGTCATCATAGAATAACTTGCATTGTAGGAATTTTTTTATTTTGTATGAACCGTCTTCACATCTACTATGCGGATCCCAGCACTTCTCACATTCGATTCGTTTCCTTGCATCCATTGTCCCCGAAAATCTTCCAACTTTTACGTATCGCTTCGGTTGCTGCTTGAGGATTTTTCATTTCATCTCGAATGTCGTAGAATGCTGGTCGAGCAATTCTCCGTGGAGTCCTAAGATAGCAGCGATGAAGCGTTCCCAATCGGATAGTAGAGAGTGATTTTTTTTCCCAGACAATTCCGGTACTAATTTCCCGACCCCGAAGCGATGAGAGGTTTGGTTGACCCGGAGCGGAATCGAACTGGCACCATGCTCGTGATGACGAACCTCACTACCACTGTGAGAAAATAAAGTACGAAAGCAATACTTGGAAAAGTGGTTCAGCGATAGAGGAAAATTTTGCCAGAGTAATGTGAAGCAGCAAAACTACTACAATTTTTTTATGTCTTTAATTCGACATAAGTGAAAGTGATATGCTTAAATGAAAATGAAACTAAATAGAAATTTCTGCCATGCGAGAAGAATCTGGAAAAGCAGAAAATAAGTGTTACAGGCAGAAATGCACGGCGGAAAGGGCATTGATCTCTTATTCTCTTCTTCTTACTTTCTCTTCTCTCTTTCTCTTTTTCTGTCCTTTTTCCGCATTTCGTTTATATTGTCTACAGAATTTTTCTTTTCAAGAAAAAACACTTTGCATTTAGCACGCCTGTTAAAAGTCTTAGGGATCTAGCAGATGTTTTTAAGCAGGTTTAGAAGTAAAGTTCACTTTCTAAGTTAAGCATGACGGTTGTTTACGTCTTATGGCATTTACGGTGTATGGAATGGCTTGACGTTTTTTTTTTCCTTCCAAGGTCTTTTGATTTGCCTTCAGTCGCTTTTAATTACTCGAATATCCGTATGCATGAGTACCCCATATTCACGGCTAATTATACAGGCCCCAACGCATTCCTATTCTAATTGTTATGTTCTTTGTTTGGTAGTATTTTTAGCATCTTGGAGTCCTCAGAAATTCCTGGGTACTGCTCTCCAATCTCTTTACCCCAGGCACTCACCTGCCATTATGAATCGGCAGGAGATTTGTCATCTTATGACTAGGAAACATCCGGTACGAGCAGAGGTTTCCCCATATCTGCTCTCCAGGATGCAAATGTCACACGTCATTGTTGCACTGTTCCTCCTGACTTTATTGAAAAACAATCAGTTGCTGTGCATCGAATTTTACTCCTAGTAAAACTATTACTTCAGCTACGACAACGTTGCAAACTTAACCATTGAGAACGTTGCTTTCAGTTAATGGTTCTATTTAGAAGTGTGAGTTGATGTGACGCAGTGGTTAGAGCTGTTTTGGCAAGGTCGTTGGTTGGCGTTGTGTGTCACCGGTAAATCAAGCTCACTACTACTCTGGGGTCGTCAAATTGCTTCCGGGTTTGTCCTGGAGAAAGAAAAACATTGACTTGATACATAGGTCGACGTCGAAACCATTCGGCATTCTTTAGAGTTGTTGTAGATACTACGAATGGAACCCTATGCGTGGTACATCCGCTAAGATTTGATTAACACCGAATACTTTAACCATCTTTTTTATTTCGGAGTGATATTTACCGTGTGCTAGTCATATTTCACTACAGGTATTTATGGCCCATCATTTTATGAATAAAAAAATCTTATACGACACCATCACTTTTTTATTTCAAACATGGTGTTTTATCCCTTACTAAAAAGATAAAAGCTCTCGGCATTGATCACTCGCTGAGGGATGCACCATGCATTCGACTTCATTAAGCTCGTTTAGAAGTAACTGAATGCATATATAGCCTTTACAATGACTCGCGGTGGCCTACCGATGTATTGAGCCAGTGCTGCTATCCTTCCAGACAACTCTGGTACCAATTTGCCGACCTTAGAGGGGTGGGTAGAAGGCTTGGTGGGCCATGGGCACGGGGATCGATTCCACATAGGTGTTGCAGGGCGCCTCCAACCACTGCGCCACACGCGCCCTTTCACCCTTTCATCCCATACCGTTGCAAATATCGTCGATCGCCGCATACAATCCTTCTTTTTCATCGATTTTCCTCGGGATTTTCAGGATGTCTTACGGTAATGACTATAACCTTTTTAGAGACGGCATAGTGGCATGGGACACGGCACCACTTTGTTATTTCTGTGCTATTCAGTGTTCGCCCAGGCCGTCAGACAGGTAAGCGCTGTTTTATTTTTCCTCTTCTAATCGATTTTTTCGAATTTTGAATTGAATCTTCTTTCTATTCTGAATTTTGGACTTTATTTCTTGAAAGTCTTCGGTTGATCTGAAGTGATTTAAAAAGTTCCGTCGTAACTGCTGTAATTTACCGATTTTCTAGGTCACAGTTCCCGGCGAGATTGTGCTTGGAGGTCTTTTTCCAATTCATGAAGCTGGTAGAAATGGATCAAGCTGTGGGAAAATCAAGGTGAACACCTACAGAGAATTTGTCTTCCAAAACTCAGAGATGATTCTTGCCCAGTAGTTTTTGTTTTTTATGAAAACCAATCAATATATATATGTATATATATAGGTAGAATCCTGTAACATGGAATTTCCTTTGTGGAATCACAATTTTTTTTTTCAAAAATTTTTTCCTAAACTCCTCGGACTAGTCACGAGTGAATCAACTCGATGTTTCTAAGGACATTCTTTCATCTGTAAAGAGTTACAGTCAACAGAGAATGGTTCTTCGACGGAGATTATTTCAACACTGATAAGACATATTCAGTATCATTTTTTGTATAAAAATAAGAGTAACTATGATTACGGGTACGTGTGGCGCAGTGGTGATCGAAGCCGCCCTGCGACTCACACACGGGATTGATCCCCCCCGAGGCTCACCAAGCCTTCCATTCCTCCTGTCGGCAAATTGGTACAGACTTGTTTGGGAGCATAGGAGCACTGGCTCGATACATCCGTAGGTCACCGCGAGTTAATGAAGTTGCTAGTGGAAAATAGGTCTTTGAACGTATTTGTGCAATATTGCAATAATATCTACAAATATGAATAAATATCAACGTATATCTATAAACACAAATACAGGGGTAATAAACGAAGTGTGACCCATATATGGCTCACATTGACATAAGACTGTTGTTGAAGGCCGATCAGGGTGTTCAGCGTATGGTAGCGATGCTGTACGCTCTCGAGAAGGTGAATCAGGATAGTTTGATTCTGCCACAAGCCAGTCTCGGAGCGCAGATTCTCGACACTTGGTTAGTGACGTTTAGACTTTTTTTTTCCTAACGCTTGGTCTTTTTTTCTTCCACTAACGCCTCTCTCTTGCTGAAAATACTCTCTAAATTATCCGGTGTTGATTGATCTCTTAGGAATGCACCATGTATTTGTCTCCATTCGCAACTGTAGAAATGATTGGATTGAATACGCGTTTGGCCTTCATAATGCCTTGTGAGGGCTTAACGATTGAACAAGTCAGTGTTCCTCTCAGAGTGTTTGCGCGGGTTCGAACCTATGAGCACGTCTGCATCTTACAAAAGTTCTCTAATCACTGGACTACTCATGTTATCCAAAACAAGTTCTAATGTTCGGTAAGAGGAAAAATATCACTGCGTTGACCAATTTTAAAGTGTAATACCACTACCATACAAAATACACTTTATTTATTACTTCTTTTCCAGTATCATATCGATTACTAGATTAAATGTTAGATATTTTGGTGTTTAATATGGCTTCCGTTCAAAGGACTTGTGGTTTTTTCCGGATATCTGAAATCTTGTTTTTCAACATCTCTTCTATTTACGTGCAATTCCCTTAATTGTATCGGATTTCACGTGAAGCTGTCGGCTGGATTGTCCATTAACTAATCTGTAGGGCGTCCGCAATTCTCCATGGTTCATATGAGGGCACCACAGAAAAAGACAACTGACCTTTCCTTAGGCACTTGCAAACTTCGCAATACTTAACTATTATTATGGAAAGTTACTGGAACGCTGATTGATTTGTTGAAAAGTCAAGCTCTCTTATTTTTCTCTTAGACGTTGGGAAGAAATCTATATTATTAGGATTTTTTCGATCATAGCCTAATTGGAACCATAGAAGGGTAGCTCGGCTCGGTTTCGATCCGCTCATTAAAAAAAGGCTTCGTACTACATGAGATTAGGTAGAAAAAAAGTATTTCTATCTGGAAGCTCAACTTCGAGTAGATCGATGCCATAGCGAATCCAGGTAAGCTACCCGTGATAAGCTATTCCCTAAATAAAGTAGAAATAAAGAACATAGTAACAAAAGTATTATGCACTTTGTCCTCTTCGTACGCGTGAAGTTTATGGAGCAGCACTGGCATACGACAGGAATGAATGAAGACCTTAGTGATGCCCGCTTAAGTTATTAGATGATTGAGGAGATTATAGTATGTTTAGGGCGCGTGTGGTACAGTGGTTAGAGGCGTCCTGCAACACACACGTGGAATAGACCCTCGCGCCAATGGCTCACCAAGTCTTCCATCCCTTCGGGATCGGCGAATTGGTACCAGACTTGTCTGGGAGGATAGCAGTACTGGATCGATACATCAGTAAGCCACCGTGAGTCATTGTAAAGGCCAGATATGCATCCAATCACCTCTAAACGATGCTTAATGAAGTCAAATGCTTGGTGCATTCTGCAGGAATTGATCAACGCCCCGAGCTTTATCCTTTTTAGACCTTCATAGTACGGTAGCCATCTGATTGTGTGCTGATATGGGACATTTTTCTGTCGGTCAAACTTTATTTTTCAGTTTAGTAAGAATACACAAAATTTTTTATTTCATATGACTTGTCGGCAGAAATTGGGTGGAAACAGCACATCTTACAATCAGTTTGTTGTTTTTGTGAATTAATCACGGAGGTTTTTGGATTCACTTGTGATTTCGGCTGCTGCTTGAGGATTTTTTTCTTGTTGATGAATTTCGTTGAGTGTTGATCGAACTGATTCTCCGTGAAATTCTGGAATAGCTGCGTTAAGCCGTTTCTCGATCCTCACCACAAGGAATTTCGCAAGCATCTGTGCATCGGAGAGAGCTTTTCCCAAACACGTCTGCCACTAGTTTGCCAACCTCAGAGAAAATGAGGGTCTGGTTGGGCTAGGACGGTATATCTAATGTATCAGACTGATGTATATACTGTTTTAATATTTACATACTGCCTATTTTTCTTTCACGGCAATGTGCGATCTGAAATACAACCATAGGGGTGCCGAGAAATGAGCAAATCTCGGAACCACAGTTGAGCTTCGAGCCCACGATTATCCTCACCGGTGATTCGTGAGTTATCCAGCAAACCAACCAAGCCCTCTTTTTGGCTTTTTCTCAGCCATGTTCTTACTCTATTGGTCAAAACGGCAATTTAAGAAGGTGTCGTGGGTGAATAGCAAGCACATGGGCAACTGGTAAGGGTTGTCGCAAATTCAAATCCTAACTTGGGTTGCGAGTTTTGTGTACATCTCGCCATTCCTAATCTATACCTTTATGTGCTTTTTTCTGTTGTCCTTTAGAATATATATACAGTCCTTGTAATGAATTTCTATTTCAAGTTCTGTCGATAGCTACGCTTTGGAGCAAGCGTTAGAATTCATCAAATCTGTGATGTCGAGTGGCGACGGTGCCGTCTGTGCGGTGAGTCGTATGAAGTGCATCATAATCTGTAGGCTTGCAAAAGTTTCAAAATAATCTCCTGCTGTCGATCTCTTTCTTTAACTTTACTTTATGTCGCTTATCGATCACTATTATTTGATTATCAATAGAATTAGAATGAACCGACGTCAATGAATATGAAGTATATGCTATAAGCATTCGAAAGAATGACCTTCTGAGAACTTCGGCACTAATGACTATTTTATGTAAATTTTACAAACTTTCTTTGTTAAACTGGAGCTAGTTTCTTATCAGATGTCCTTAGCACATGACGGCCAACATTTCGACGATTTCACCTTCTTCAGGACCAGGACGTAATTTTTGTAACTTCAATGTTGCTGCGATATTTGTAGGACTACGGACCTCTGGTGTCTGCAGTGAGACCGAAAACGATATCACCCTTTCCGGGGGCTAAGGCGTTCGCCACCATTAGAAAGATTAGACAGTAAATAACAAGTGACGACTTTGCCTATATAATTCAACTAATTGTCTTAATTAATTAAATTATTTTTATTATATTTATATTTAGTATTTATATTTAGTATTTCATATATTATTTATTACGGTATTACAATATATTATAATGTTATATTATTTAATTACACTATTAATGAGGACCTATTGCACAAATCAGCGTCACTTTGTTAGAAACTACCCATCCCTTTGCAAGGTGTGAGACAATCCGTATGCTCTTTATGTGGGATGGGAGTGAAACTCAACCAGATTGAAAAGTGAGCATGGGAAAACGCTACGGATCCTTTGTGATAGTGAGGTTTCGACTCTTTTTCCAGATTTCTTAGGTCCATCCAGATTATTTATTATTATTATATTATGTATTACTATATTTATCAGATTATTTATTTTTTACCAAATGTTTTGTTTTATTTGGGTTTTAAACATTTGGATCTTGGACGGAAACAAACTTGGAACTTGACCCTCTCTTTCGATCTGACCCGAGAGGCAGCCGCCTCGTAGCCATTGAAGATGGCTACTTTTTTGTGACAAGTTTAGCGATCAATTCCTTTCCTTCTTCTCGTTCCTTGGTAAAAATTCCTTCTACTTCTATTCCTTCTACACATCAATTCTAGCCATTTGATACATATTTTTGATAACTGCTTCTTCGTCTGCAGAGCATGAGAGGATAGGTAATGCTCTAGTATATTTTCACTACTTGGTTTTCGACGCCATTTTCTTAGGTGGCGACTTTCTTAAAGCTTTATTTGGATGTTTAAGAAAGGGTGTCATTTCCCGTTTGGTTTTTTTTCGAGTGAGGTTTATATGCTCTGACTCTGTATTTAATATTTCAAAGTACTTATCCACCCCTTCTTGTTTGGAACAGGCGATAAAGAAGTCTGTATATCGACTGTAGAGTAAAGTTCGGTGGTCGAGAAATGGTGCTTCCACCATGAATATAAAGGTGATGGCAAGGTTCGGTGCCAATCGCTACCCAATGGCTAACCCTTAAACCTGTAGGAAATATCTTCCATACCACCTAAAAATGCGTTTGTGACAGGTTGAGCAACGCTTGGTCCGGGCAGGATAAGACCTGAATACCTGAAAAATGTTTCTCCAGTTCTCATCAATGCACTGGCTTGGCTCTTCACATGTTACCTGTCAGAATGCAAAGTTCCTATTTAATGAAAAACCAGCAATACCGTGATGCTGTAATGGCCTTGGCGATCTCACCAACTATTGCCCAACCTGCTTACTATCTATCCTCTGTAATCCGTTCAGTCGAATTATCCTAAATAGGACCGATAGAGCAGTGAGCGGAGGACAACTATATGCGCGAACGTATGAAAAGGAGTCAACACAACGGACCACGTTCATACGATGACAAGACTGGATTAAATATCGCGACAGTACAAAAGGCCATTTTGTCCTACTTTCATCGAATTAAGGAAAGCTTTTGACTCAGCTGACATAGAAGCAGTCGTGGAAGCTTTGGACAGCCAGGGAGTTCCTTAATCAATGCATAAAGATTCTTCCTGAGACATGTGATAATTTCGCAACCAAAATACAACCATTCTGCAAGGATATTAACTCGACGTCGAAAGACGGGTTAGGCAAGGCGATACCATCTCGCCAAAATTATTTACCGCCAACCTCGAGAACTTCATGCGAACATTGGAATGGGATAATATACGAGTGAAAATCGATGGTTGGTAGTTACACCATCTTAGCTTTGCTGATGACATTGTTCTTGTAAAATTAATCAATTAGCCAGACGAAACGAATGCTTGCTGATTTCGACAATTGCAGTGGAAAGATTGGTCTTCAACAAAACCTGACAAAAACGATGTTCATGAGGAACAGATTGGTTTTGTGTGCTTCATTCACACACAATGGAACGAATATCTCCGAGTACTCCGGCTACGCCCATCTAGGTCGAGAAATCAATATATTGAACAACATAGCTCCAGAGTTGAGCAAAAGGAAGCGAGCAGACTGAGAAAGCATCGAGGATATAGTCAGAAGGACAAAGAAACCCAACTCCGTGCCCGTCTTTTCGACTCTAAGATTCTTCATCTCTTAACGTGTGGATTAGAAACTTGGTCATTCCGTAAGGTGAATGAAGAATCTCTCAGCGTTATAAGCTGTCAAGTTGAAAAGAAGATGCTATAAATATCCCGCATCGTTTATGTGCATCGGGAGGAGATCCGAAACTGCGACTTGATGGTCAAAAATCAAAGAAGCCGTTCTCTATGCCAAATTGTCGATGATAAGATGATAAAATGGCGTGGATACGTAATGCGTATGAGGGACAACCGATGGACGAGAGCCATTAGTGACTGCATTCCTTTGGATGTCAAGTGCACAGCAGGAAGGCCACATACCCGATGGTCCGAGTTGTTTACGTAAACTTTAGAAGAAAGACGGGATGCTCAGCGAGTCCCTAGAGCGAGCAGAACCCACTGAGTTACTGTTGCTCGCGACCGGGAGAAATAGAAGATTTACTGACGCTCGTTCGAGTTACCCCACGACCAGTGGGACGATAGGTGATACAGGTGATAGCACCTAAAGTTTGAGCAACCAAGATACTTTTTAGGAAAGTAATTAGTCGTTGATAAGATAATCTGTACTTATTTATTTTCTCTTCATGTTCTGTGAGCGGATCGAGAATGGCTTGCATTGCGGAGTCATTCGATACGTTTGTATAGAATGAGCTAGTTGCTGTGCTAAGAGGCATAGCGCCTCCACCCCTTTTCAAAACAGCCCTTCGCAGGACCACTTGCTTTTTAAATAAACATCAAAATCAAATACGTTGTAAGATGAAGATGAAAAGGTTAGGCAACAAATAACAAAGAGGGGCATTGCCACCTATCCTTTTCTCCGAATTTTCTTTAAGAAACAAGAACCTGGTAGCGAAATTAGTCCTTTTATTCACTTATTTGCGAACGAAATTCTCCAAATACTTCATCGTTACTGGCATAAAAAGTTAAGCTCTAAAAGGGTTATAGAACTCTCACCCAACAATCTACGGCGTCAGTTAGTCCGCAACCTCCACTGAAACAGTCTGTGTAGGACGGAAAATTCCTTGGCGAATGCCAAAGGCAGAGACGGAGATTGAATTAGTTTGGGATCATTATATTTGATCTTATGTAAGGTACCTACTAATGAATACTTTGGCTAAGCGAAAAGATAACTCGGTATCACTAATCAATATGACGTTAGCCGAAAATAAACATCATTATCAACCTCGTGTAGGCTCATCAAAAAAGAATACATATTGAAAAGACAACTCTACATCTCTGTAAACGAGCACCTAGTCGGTAAACCTTAAATTCGAACAAAGACACAAGGGTGATGATTTTGAAGTATCAGTACCCGTCCTGGAGCAGGAACTAGAAATACCAATGCGCGAAAACCCTCGAGGGATTTTGGACAAACCTAAAAATTCCGAAAAAAAAGTACGGGAACCTCACTACAAATTCATCATCCACAAAAGTGTTTGAACTTTTCACTTGCGCGTTTTACTGCTGCTCGAGGATTGTCGCTTTCTTCATGACTATCGTTGAGTCCTGGTAGAGCCCATTCTCCCTCGACTCCTGGAATGGCTTTGCTACAGTGTTTCTGTATGGATTTGAAGAAGTGAGTTGGGCGCAGACAAGTCTGGAAACAATTTTTCGACTCCAGAGTGACGAGAAACTTGGTGAGTCCGCTGCGGGGTTGAGCTAGCAGCATGCTCTTGGTGAACGGCGCCACTACCACTGCGCTACCCGTCTCCTGTTTTGTACAGTAGGTTCTCATTAGTGTTGTAGATAATTCACAGAATGGTATAGATAGAATTACACAACAATACGTCCAGGCTTTGAAGAAGGCTAAGTTGCCAAAACGGTGGCCGTCAACTTTCAAGAACATCTCGTAATAACCTGGCGTCATCTCAACAAAGACAGTTCGTAAGGTCTAATCATGCTGAAAGAGTTTATGCTATGATCTATAATTATTTTTTTGCTAGATGACTAAATTTGAGCCTGCTTTCAGGACGGTTCATCGGCGTCCTACCATCGTCAGCCAGTCGCTGCGGTTGTTGGCGCGGCCGGCAGCCAAGTATCAGTCATGGTGGCTAGTATGCTGCAGCTTTTTAAAGTAATGTTGGAGTCTTGCTATGCCTAACCAACATATACTTTAGAAATATTATCTTTGTCGCGCTAAAGGAGAATACATTCCACTATTTTGATTCCGTAATACCTCGGAGCGACCATCTTCTCCCGTTATCTTTCTTTGGAATATCAACGATCTACTTTTATTCATTTTGCTCTAAAATGTTAATTTATCTTTTATTTTAGATTCCTCAAGTGAGCTATTCTTCCACCGGAGCCGAACTAAGCGAAAAGCCACGATTTTATTATTTTTCTCGTGTAGTCCCTCCTGACAACCTCCAAGCACAGGTGATGGCGAGAGTGGTAAGTTTAGAGTGCAATTTTTTTCGAAGTATATTCTACCTTCTTCCAATGGTATACCGCCTCATCATGGCTGGAAAGTGTTCTTGTATGTCGTACTACGATGTACAGCGGGGTGATTCGTCCCCCAGGTAGGGTCTCCCAAGCCGAGAAGGAGTCCGGCGTTTCCATCAGGAAGCCTAGCTAAGAGTAAACTAGTACCAGGGTACACCACCGCCCTGGTATCAAAGTCGCATAGCGGCAAATCTACCTTTGATCTGCAAGAGCCGGCAACTGCCTGTGGTGGTGAAGACCTGGGGCAGATTTTGGTCGGGCTAACCTTCGGCCTGCACGGAACCACAATGGCTAGACCAGCAAATCCCCGAAAAATGGAGATTATGCTGGGTCCGCGCAACTAGTGAAGACGGGCCGTTCAAGTACCAAGTATCAAGTATCAAATATGTTCTACTTCAAGTTCACTTGGTCAAACCGTCTGCCATGAACATAGCAATCGTCTAGCTATGATTTCGAATTGTTGCTTTATCTACCATATCGAATATTTCTGCTAGATTGATCACCACGAAGGCTTATCGCCCTATTCGTTTGCCTTGTTTGTAGCACCAGCTCTGAAAGGTTCTAAAAAGTGTGTGGGTCTTTAAATGATATCTGAATGAAGGAGATAAGCAGAGTTTTATAAGACGTTAATTGAAAATTTAGTGATGTTTTTCAAATGTTCAAGCAAAAAACTGTTTGTGAACTGTGCAATGATAAATGTGAATGGATCTGGATGTGAATATAAATGGAAAATGATATTTTTGTGCAATTATGGAGTAAAAAAGATAAAGCTCTCGGCGTTGATCAATCCCTGGAGGAATGCGCCATGCATTCGACTTCACTAAGCATCGTTGGAGGTGATTGAATGCATATCTGACCTTTACAATGGCTCGTGGTGGCCTATCGCTATATCGAGCCAGTGCTTCTAACCTCCCAGACAGGTCTGGTGCCAATTTGCCGAGCCCAGAGGGATGGAAAGTTTGGTGGGCCGTTGGCGCGGGATTGATTACACGTGTACACCACTGCGCCACACGCACCCAACAATATTTAGCCTTTACTCGCGGCGGCCTACCTATGTATCGACCCAGTGCTACTGTCCTCCCAGACAAGTCTGTTACCAATTTACCGACTTCATAAGAATGGCAGGCTTGATGGGCCATGGGCTCGGGGATCGATTCCACGTGTGCTGCAGGGCGCCTTCGACCATTGCGCCACACGCGCACTTAGACTACGGAGTAGCGTCTTTAATTTAAATCACTTCGGATTACTGTAGAGCGTTTTCGCTACTACTATAGCAGCTACACCAGGCTGCATTATACCCTGTTTACTTTTAATTTCATTCTTTCTACCGCTTGTCGACAATTTGAAGTCCTTCGACGTTCAATAAAAAGCAGAGATTAAGTTTTCTGTATATTAAGGCGTCAAAAATTTTTTCTCACTAGTATTACTTGATGGGCAGACACGCAGAAGGTGAGTAAAAAAAATCGTCGCCAACTCATTGCAGGCTTTTTAACTGTGCCGAAACCTCTCTAGTCATCTGATCTCCTCTAACGGTGTGCCTCAACAACATATGGAAGTTCGTAGCGTTTCACTTTTTTGATTCCAGGTTCGAGATTTAGACTGGACATACGTGCACGCTATAGCCGATACAGGATCATACGGTAAGAGTTAATTGTATATCATCGCAAATTGGATTAAAGAAAACCTCTTCAGTTGTTTATGTTTTTTATCCTTTAACAGTTTCCGTTCTTTTCCTGATGTTACCTCATTCCATCATTTGTTTTCCTTTGAATTTGTATGCTAAACTGATGTAGAAAATGTCTTATTTGCTGTGGCTTTACATATTTTCAAGGACTGGATAAACTTGGAAGTTTCCTTAAAGGTTTGTACCCTTTTCTTCATTTTATTCTATGTTCATGTTATACTTTCTTCTACATATTTTCTCTTATATTAACACTTCGATGGCCTCTATTCAAGAATCATGAAGTATATCGTACCCATTCTTCTACACAATTTCGCTCAGGCTGCTAATTTTGTGATTGGACAATAATTTCCCTACTTGTGACTTCGCAATAGGGCTTTTCTAAGTTTTTACCCACTTCCCGGTTGGTGAATATGTTGTTACTAAGATTGCAGTAATTCCTACCTCTAGTCCGTAGTTTCCAAATAATCACTGTTTTTCTTGATGGGGAAATACGAGGTGATTATTGTAGCATCTAGTTCAGGGCCAAAAAAGGTCAAAATGAGACGCAATCTAGTCAACTGAACACTTTCATTACGCCAGCAGGTAAAGCTTAATACATAAGTTTTCATTCGCATAATAAACAGCTCTTCTATTTTTTATGAGCTATCTTTTTATAAGCTCTTTTCAGATGTTTATTTAAACACATATCGGTTTCTTTGTTTTTATTTTTTGTGCATTTTAAAAATATTTTCTATATTTCTATTTTTTCTCTCTGTTAAGGAGCTGTTTACTGTGCGAACAAAAATTTATACATAAGTTTTATCTTTTTTTCTCGGCTATGGTGTATTAATAAATGCTATAATAACAGCCTTTTGTTTACTCATCAAGAAAAATAGTCAATTTTTGATCAGCATCGAGATCAAGAGAGAGTCGGTCTCGGAATTTCCCATATTGAGTTTCCCGATTTTAATGTTAGACATCCTGCTTTGAGTGACTCCGGGGCATGGTAGGTTGCGAATTTCCAGCTGTAGATCGCAAATCGACAGCCAAAAATGGCCCAGCCACGTTAATTCATCAACATATTGCCCTACTCTATGTTGCTTATTTTACTCCTGGATTCTTCTACCCTTTCCCTATTTCTTCCTATTTTGCTTTCTCTATTTTTTTTACTATTCTACTTTTCCTATTTGTTTTTCCCCACTTTCTGTTTTCGCAACGATTCCCTTAACCATGCTTCTCTTAAATTAATCATATTCGCATAATGAACTGTTTAATTAAAATTTGGTTTACATATATAGGCATATAAATTGGCAAATTATCGTCATATTGTTGTCGTAATATAATTTAGACCTAGAAAAGATATTGGTTGCCATATTATATATTGGTTGCTTTAGGTTCGTAGCTTAGTGGGACTTATCCCACTATGGGAAAAACCTAAAGATGTACTTCGTGAACAGCTCGGAGAGGGACTAAATCTGCCTCTTTATTGCTGCTCTATACTGCCTTCTAAACTGCTATGCGTTTCAGCATCGACGTAATTATTATCTACAACGCGAAAATTTACGGTTTAAAGCGGTTTTGTCATTAACCAATTGCTTTCATCTATAATGTTTTTGTACTGTTGAGAAAATAATTCTTTCTTGGTTAAATACAATTTGTTACAACTACGACGACATCCCAACGGCGTTCGCAAGGCTATGCAGTGTGCATAGCCCTACAAGGGATTTGAACCACATATCCAAAAATTCGGACTATCGGTCGCTGAAATGCTGAAATTTCGCAAACTATTGTTAGACGAATGGTAGAACATAAACATGAGGGGCTTGGTAGTGATGCCATTTAATACGCATAATGCCATGGTTCGACCTCGCCTCGGGCAGACCAAGCCACTCTGCCGGATTGGGGAATTTTTACCACATTTGTCTGGGAAACTCCATCCAATCCTAAGGAAGAATGACCTAAAGGCGCTATCTCAAAATTTCATGCGTTATCGACTAGACCAGCATTCAAGGACATCTTTCGTGAAGAAGACTGAAATTCTTCAAGCAACAGTAGAAACCACACTCAAATCCGAGGGCCATGGAGCGCGATGTATGCGATAAAGCGAATCGAATGAAATAGTTTTTATATAGCAAACCCTATCGTAACCAATTCAGGAATGTACGAATTGATTTCGATATATATATATATATATATATATATATATATATATATATATATATAGCACAGAGCTTTTGCTAGAGTCTATGGTTTATAAAACAGAGATTTTATAACCCAGCAGGGCCATGGAGTTCTCAATGCACTACACTTGCAAAAACCCGTTTTTGGAAGATGGAATGGAATCGATGGATATAAAAAAGCATCGAAAGAGCCACAGAAATGCACATGAAATATGGTATAGAATCATGTGCACGGCTAATAACACAGTAGTTTGATAATGGACGACTCCAATAACACGGAAACACACAAGAGAACATGGCGGATGCGATAGCTTAGAGACACGGAAAATATGTGAGGGAAACAAATAATAGAACAAACCCTCAAGAAACTGGTGCGTTTTCCCATTTCACAGGCTTTATGGGCTGTTCGTCTTGGCTTCAATGCGCACTTTGATAGTGCTCGAAGAAAACTCGGCTCGGTGACCCTGTCACCGCTAAATTGATCGCGGTAGCGAAAAATGAAAATGCTGAGGGAGTTAAAATGGGCAAAAATCACTGTGTAAGAAAGTGAAGTGCCACCATGAAGTAAATATATATACATATATATGGAACTTTATTTTATACGACCCGTCTTCACACTTACTGTACGGACCCCAGCACTTCTCATATTCGATTCGTTTCCTCACACCAATTGTCCACGAAGACCTTCCAACTTTTACGTGTGGCTTTGGCTGATGCTTGAGGATTTTCATTTCATCTTGGATGTCGTAGAATGCTGGTCGAGTCCATTCTCACTGGAGTACTGACGTAGCCGGGCTGAAGCGTTTCCACTTAGAGTGCAGAGAGTGTTTTTTCACAGACAAGACCGGTACCAATTTCCCGCCCCCTGATGAATGAGAGGCTTGCCGAGCCTGGGGGGAGATCGAATCAGCACCGTGCTGGTGAAGGATAGCATCACTACCACTGTGCTATCCGCCTCCTAATAAATAAACTGTCGGGCACATTAACAAAAAGAAAAGTAGTTTTGTCGTGTCAGGTGAGCGTGGTTTGGATTCATTTCGAGCGGCAGCCACCGACTTTGGCATCTGTATCGATGGAGACGTGCACAAAATTAGTAGACGATGGACGGAAAAGAATTTTCGGTATGTCCGACAATCAAGGCAACTATTTTCTACCACCAATCTTTGAGGAACATTGACGTGGGAAATTTTGTTGAAATTACACCTAAAATGCTTTGAACAACGTACGTTTAAGTGGCCAGTTATTTGTTTTTTACTATTCAATTTTCGCTTAAACGACGTACCTTAAATAGTAGCTGTGTTAGTGTTTATATCAAGTTTACTTGGAGGGGCGGGGGTGGTTCACACTTTTAATCATTTTTATTTATTTGTTTCTATTTCAAAAAGTAGAGTTTCTAGAATGCTCTGTAGAGTTTGAGCAGCGTTGCTCAGGCATTTGCTAATATCTAGGAATAAATAATACAGTGAACGAATTTGACAATGTGTTATCTATCATACTAGTAGTTATAGAAGCGTTCAGTACCATTCTGTTGTTGGTGTCTCAAAAAACTCGAAAACTGCTCGAATTTTCTGCTTCGATAGATCTCATTTATTTGTCCCTCATAATCGACTTGGTCATCGCTTTCCTTTCTTCACTCTTTGTGTTCTTCTCTTCGCTATTCCGGTCCCACTAGTGATTATTGATGATTGATTTAAGTGATCTGCTTATTCGAATGTATCGCACTAGAAAAGCTCGCGGTGTGGTGATGTTTGTGGATGAGGACAATTTAAAGCGCTTACTGCACACGTTAGACAAGCTCATCAAGGAGGGTAATAAGGAACTGGAACGACGGTTTTGGTTAGCTTTTCTGCTTTTTATACCGATTGACATACTACCTCTACTATAGTGGAGGTTTTATTTGCAAACTGAATGATTCTCGTTCCATGCGTCGTTCAAAATGCTTAGACGCGGCAATATTTTTTTCCAAAAAGAACGTCCCTCTTAACGGTTTACCGCCTCATCGTGGTTGGAAGGTGTTCCTGGATGTCGATTTGTGACGTACAGCGGTGGGATTCATCACCCTGGCGGAGTCACCCAAGCTGGGAAGGAGTCCGGTGTTTCCATGAGGAAACCTGGCTAAGAGTAAAACAATGCCAGGATCCACCACCGTCCTGGTATCAAAGTCGCATGGTGCTAAATCTCCCTCTGATCCATAGGCGGTGACTGCCTCTAGTGGTGACGACCTGTGGCAGACTTTGGCCGGGCTGACCTCGCGACTCCGCGGAAACACAATGTGTAAACCAACAAAACTTTGAAAAGTGAAGAGTGTGCTGAGGCCCGCACAACCAGTGAGAACGGGCTGTCCTAGTATCCATGCAATTAAGTGAAAAAGAACATGACTACGTAATAATGACGTAACACTCTTAGTGTGGCACTACTGTTGCGTCAAGAAGTGGCTTAAGAATGCTTACTTACTCCGATACTTGGATGGCTCATTTGTTGTGCTGCCACAGCATGATCTCCATTTTTCACACTTTTGTCTGCTTAGTCATTCTAGTTCTCTGGAGTTCTGAGGTCAGCTTAACCAAAGTCTGCTCCAGGTAATCATTACAACAGGCAGTTGCCGCTCTTGTGGATTAGAAGGAGATTTGCTCGTATGCGACTGTTTTGATAGTAGGTCCGCGCTGATTCCTGGTATCGGCTTACTTTTAGCTGGGCTTCCGGATGGAAACATCTAGGTCCTTCTCAGGCTAGGAGGTCCTGTTGGTGGATGAATTACTCCTCTCTACATCGCACTCTGACACCCAGGTTCACTTTTGAGCCACGATGAGGCGGCTAACGGTTGTAAGGAAAAATGACAATAGGACCAAAAAGCCGTTTTTCTTTTAACAAATCCTATTTCTTTTTTCTCGCATTTCTCAACGTAGGGTACTTACGAAGAATCGACGTTTCTTTTTCACTAGTAAGTTAGCACGAAGGTCAAAAAAATGTCATTCGGATAGCTTGTGAATGAAAAAATCATTTTACTAGGTTAATCAGAAGAAATATCTCAATAATTAAAGTGCTTAGTGTTGTCTTAGGAACACTGTGTTGTACTTTTTCAAAAGAAGTAACTTTAGGTTTGTAGCCAGTGATTCATGGGGTATTAAACAGTCGGTTGTGCTAGGATTGGAACATCTACTAGCCGGATCCATCACTATCGTTCCTCATGTCAGGGAGGAAAAAGGTGAGCCCATAGAAGAAGCCATGCTGAGCTTTTAAATTCAATTTCGCTTTCTTCTTATATCGATGTAGTACATGCAGAAGAAGAAAGAGAAAAAAGAACAAGCGTAGGAAAATCGATATTTTATGAACATATCGACACTCCATTCTGCTCAAAACCCATGGAAGTACATTCTTTGATTGTTTCGAATATTCGATTACTTTATTCTTCGCATAAATTTGGTGACGAGTAACTCCAATGGGTTTTGGGTGGCTTGTCGCCAAAACGTCAGCCCCTTTGTTCACTGAGATACCTTCTTTTGTCTAACTTTGTTTACTGCCCACTATATTTTCACGGCAAAATGTTATGTGAACTACAACCACGATGACTAGGCCTTGCCAAGGCTATCCCCCAGAAACCGTAGTCGTGAGTTCGAAACTGGCCTGTGATCTGAGTTTTGCAAGCATTACAGTTGTCGCCCATGTATTACTCTGTGCGGCGGCTGTCCATCAACTTAAATACTTACAACAACTAAACGGCTCTGAAAAAGGCGAAACCGCCGAAACGTCAGCTATTGTATTCTAATAAATTCTATATTAACAACCTCGTGTCTGCTTATTGAATCGCATTTCAGCATCGTCGTGGTTGCTTCTTATCCATTTAAAAGGAAGTAGATCATTTCTCTTAGCTGCTCTCCCAGTACCTAACCATTCTGATGTGAAACTTATCTGAAAACGTATAATCAAAATGAGTGCATGAACTGTAGTTGACAGAAACCGTCCAAGTATATTTGTCCGACAGAACAGTTTCGTTTTGACTAAGGAACTTGTTCCTATTCTCTTGATAGTAAACTAACTACTCGATCAATTAGAGTGTCTTGATAGAGATTTGACAATTCGAATATGGATTTTCGTTGGAAGACTCCGAACAGTGCATTCATTCAGCTTACATCACATTCTTCCGTAAGCTTTCGCCGACCGGTTACACGTTTCTGGAAGAATACTGGGATTCGTTAGGATGTGGCCAGAGAGACGATTTGAAGTACTTTGGCGACTGTTTCGACTACATTAAATACAATCTCAAACAGGCAGGTCCTCATCGATGTTCTGAATGTGAATATGTGAGAAAATACTCGGGACTTTATCCTATTATAATGCTCGAATAGTCCACAATGCTGAGAACTTCGAGTATCTACCTTCGGTGTAATTGAGTATATTCGAATCTTTCATGTTCGATCCTTTGCTTTTTTATTCTAGTAAGCTTAATACTTACTTACTTGGGTAGCCGATTTTCACTGGTTGTGCGGGTTCCAGGAAAATTTCCACTTTTTCGAAGTTTTGCTGGTCCAGCCATTGTGGTTGGACTGCAGTCCCAGGGTCAAAAGTTTCGAGATCCCAAGGTCGAGTTGCCTTAATAATGTGATTAAAATACCAAGAGTAGACTATTCGTCGTCAAAAAGTCTATGGAGAAATGATAACAGATAATTTCGGATTTAAGTGATAATGCGGTCATCCTCTTAGATAGAAACGTCATTTCAGGAATCTTACGTTCCGTTCGTAGTCGATGCGGTTCATGTGTTGGCAAGAGCTCTGTCTAAATATATTGCGGTATGGTCCTTCAGAATTTCAACCAGCGACGGCTTTTAGAGGAGAACATCATCATAAACATTTCTTAGTCACAAAATAGCAAATGAATTCACTAAATTCTTGACACTTGTTTGTTACAAAGTATTTAAATTCGCCACTTTTTGATGTTGTGGTCACTTTTTCCTCCACAGTGAAAACATTTCTTTGATATGTAGTACTGTAGCAGTGCATGCAGTACTGTACTGCATATAGTACTTCCAGGATGATTGTGGCCAAAAGGAATTTCGTCATTGTTACCTGTCAAGATCGAGATTTCAAGGTGATCGACTGCAAAAATACTACAGAAATGTGTCGATTATTGGTGCGTTTCAGTTACGGTTACTGATTTTCTAAAAGAGTCACTGACCAATCAAAATCCACGTAGTATTCCTGAGGGTATTCGTGAAGGCGGCACTTCCTCTATCATTGGCTAACGGTGTGGTTTTAATTTAGCTACTACTTTGTTTTTTAGAGAATGAGCCACCTCTCATTGATGCGAATGGCGACGGTATTGGACGCTACGATGTGTTTCAATTAGACAGTAAGGGAGTTTACCACAAAGTGAGAATTGAATCTTTGATCGTTATGAAATTAATGAATGGTTTAACTTTTTATTTACTGCATAAATACAAGCACAATGTTACTGAGATATTGGCAAAACTTGGACCATAGGGCAGATTCAAACCCAAGATTACCCTTTCCGGGGGCTCACATGTTACCCACTGCACCACTAAGACCCCGGCTTCACCTTCACCTGAGTCTGTTTTTTCTTTCCTTTTTTTTGGATATTTCAGAATCATTATGGTTGTGAAAGGATAAATGATAAAGGATAAAGCACTCGGCGTTGATCACTCCCTGAGGGATGCGCCTTGCATTCGACTTCATTAAGCATCGTTTTGAGGTGACTGAATTCATATCTGGCCTTTACGATGACTTGCGGTGACTTACCGATGTATCGAGCCAATGGTGCTATCCTCCCAGACAAATTTGGTAGCAATTTGCCGACCCCGGATGGATGGAATGCTTGGTGGGCCATGAGCGCCGGGATCGATTCCACATTTTGTTACAGGGCGCCTCCAACCACTGCGCCACACGCGCCCTTCATTGTGTTGTATTCAGGAATTGCATAATTTGACTTTTTCGTTTTTTTTTTCGCTAAACTCGGATTGTCCATGACTTTGTGAAGTAACTAAGTCGTAATAACACAGATTGCAAGAAATTTGGTTCAATTGTCGCGCAGCGACCGATTCCTAATTTTGCGTGGCAACTCTCTGGGACGGCGTCTAGTATTGTTAGAGGACAATGCAGTTTTTCATGGATGCGAGAGCTTAATAAAGAATAAACAAATAAGGAAATAATAATAAATAATAAAATGAATAAAAAGTAGATGTAAACAATTAAAAGACTCAGAGGTTCGAGAACTTGCAATGCTTATAGAAAAGATTTTGGTCTTCTTCTCTAAGGGCTTGCATAATGCCGTGTTCCCATTTCAGAAGCATTGTTAGCAACGTATGAAAGTCTATTTTCCAACCTATGTTGAGTCGTTTTCTTGAGGATTCCAGAAAAAGTTTGCATAAAGTTAGTATATCTAGAGGAAAAGTTAGCAGATTGTACGTAATCAAACACTTTTTCGATCACAACGTTCAAAGCATCACTGGAAATTTATAGGAGTAAGAATAAGAAAGAAATAAAGTGCCAAGGGCGTGTGTACCGCAGTGGATGGAGGCGCCCTGCAACCCACACACATCGGTTCGATCCCCGTGCCCGTGGCTCACCAAGCCTTCCATCCTCCGGGGTCGACAAATTGGTACCAGACTTTTTTGGAAGGATAGCAGCACTGGTTCGATATATCGGTAGGCCACCGCGAATCATTGTAAAACCCAGATGTGCGTCCAATCGCAAGTCGAATGCATGGCGCATCCCTCAGGGATTGATCAACACCGAGAGCTTTATCCTTTCTATTTATTTTAAGAATAGGAATTGAGGCTTTGCTTTCAAAGAAACGCTGTGTAGAAGGAAATTAGTGAAAGCGCTTTTGCTAGCGCCTACTCTATTTGAGCACAATTAGTAAGTTTGGTGTTGTCCAGCATAATTCCATACTGATATTATATGTATACAATTTTTTTTGATAATCTACTATCTCTTCATCCTTGGAACTGTCTATGCTGTTTGTTTCACTGCCTAAAATACTCGTTCTGTATATGTTCTTCAAACTAATTGTCCTGGTGACTGTATATAAAAAATTTAGAGAAATGAGATTTGCGCAGTTCCAATTAAATTTATCGGACATTTCTAAGTCAATTTTATTTTTAGGTAGGGAAATGGCGTTCCTCAAAGGATTCGTTCGAAATCGAGGTCCAACAAGTTCGTCGAGGTCTTCAGCTTACACCTGGTGATAGTCCGTTCTCAGTGTGCTCTACTGATTGTCCTCGAGGACATTATCGGTTGGTGTCGATGAGATTTTCTTTAGTTCATTCAGTATTCGTTTGGTGGATAAGCCATTGGAGCATATTGTGCTTTCAATTCGAGTTCGTGGTCGATTTTTTCCTCGAATCCGCTTTCGCGTATTATTCTAGGTCTACAGCTGTAATCTGTTGCTTTTCATCTTCATTTCACCGCCATTTTCCCACTTGTGCCATTTTGGTCTCTGAAACAAATTGATGGCAGATTTTCCTGTATTCTTTGATATGACCAATATTTCAACGCAGTTCACTCGCGATAGCATGAGTCAGACATGTCTCACACTTGGCTAGGATTTCCTAATTATTCCCTTTAACTTTGGAAAAGCTTACCTGGGCTTTATAGATCATAATCAACAAAATGAGAACCCTTATTCTATCACGATGAAATCATTGTGTTCTGGTACTAATAATTTTTTGTCTAACGGTTTTCGACTGCTTCGGAGCAGAGGAGCTCTTGCGCAAGCAGGATTTCGTACAGTAGGACATGGTAGCTTCCCCGAATAGCTTGTTAATGATTGCGGCGGACGTGCTTGCGTTAAAAACTTTCAATTACCTTAATCGGACTAATATGACTTTTAAGCTCCATTTTTGAACAAATTTAAAATGAACATGGCACACTAGAGAAAAACAGTGCATTACTTTAAAGTTATCAATTTTTTTCTGTAACCACTGTCGTACTGAATGTCTTAGATTTAAAACCATTCTGTTCATCTTCGTTTATAATGCTTGATAGCATGCTTGCTTAGGTGACAGCGCAAATAGCACTGAACATTTATTTATTGCCTATTTTTTATCCTTTTCTTTCCTTACAGGGCCTATCAAGATCAAACATGCTGTTGGACGTGCATTCCTTGTGATACAACGACTAGCATTATTATAAACGGCACCAGGTTTTCGATTTTTAGCTTTCCACGAACGATTGCTTATGAACCTTGAATGTATTTTGAATGGATATGTTCTGAATTTCCACCTTTACAGTTACCTTATACACTTTATTTTCGATCAACTGATAATTTTTCCCGTCTATGTTGGTCATTTTTAAGGTGTGATATGTGTCCTGAAGGAAAAGTTGCAGACGTGACCCAAAGTTTCTGTATACCTATTCCACCGGTGTCGATGAGGTTAGTGAAATTTCGACTTTCTTTCTGGACAGTAGCACTTTTACAAATCACTCTTACTGTAGGTGGGATACAGCGTGGGCGTTGATACCGGCCAGCTTCTCTCTATTTGGCCTCACCTCCACAATCTTTGTTGTTGGCGTCTTCCTGAAATTCTCCAACACTCCAGTGGTAAGCGTCTACATTGTTTGATTCCATAAGTCGAAACGTGATTATTCTCGAATACTCAAACGTATCGCTCTTTTTGTTTTCTTAATATACAACATACCGTTAGCTTCTTAATTCTGCATGCACTTAAGGATTCGACTTATTCACAGCGTGGAATTGTTGAAGCTTAGAGTCAAATTTGTCGTGGATATTTAGTCGTGGTATGTAAAACCTCGTGCCATATTGTCGTCATGATACTAGGACACTTTCGATTTTAATGGGGAGTTTAAGCCTTGTTGAAACTAATTGACAAAGTCACGGTCCTTAAACAGCTTAGCTAAGTGACCACGGATAAGTATACAAAGTAATTGATTAATTCCCAACGAATTACGGATAATTATCGTATCTACTCTCCTCCCCTGATCGCCGGTGATTCGAGCGAGCGCTAGTTAGGTCCCTATTTGTCCATCCCACGTGCCAGAGTCGCTCGGTGCTTTTCCTCCTCCAGGAGACACGAAGATAAGGATGTTGACGTCGAGGAGTCTTTTCGTGATCATAATATTGTATGACGTGGATAGAAGCCCGTGCAGCGCAGTGGTTAAGGGAGCTCTTTAAAACAAATGGGTATATTTCCACTTCACAGGCCCACTAAGCCCTCCATGTCTCCAGTGTCGCAAAATTGGTAGCAGACTTGTCTGGAAAGATAATAGCACTGATTTGATACACTAGTAGGCCACCGTAAGTCATTATATAGAACAGATATATAGTCATTCACCTTTAACGATGTTTAATGAAATCGAATGCATGGCTCGTCTCTCAGGGATTGATTCACGCCGAGGGTTTTATCCTTTCATCCCTTATGACGTGTAGGCTGGATGTAGACATCGGTAGTGTGAAACACCGCCCTGGAATAGATGTCGAGTTTATTTTTTGGAGGCGATTTGTTCCACAAATTGACCGTTCACATGATTGCAGACTTTTTAGCCGAAACGACGTGAAGCGTGCAAATTGCGTGTAGACGATCACACTCAACCACGCGTGTACACACACATAATTCCCGCGCGGTTTTTAGCTCTTGTGCCGCTTGGGTGACCCCAATTTTTCTGCATTTACAGAACTGAATAAATAATAGTCTTTTGACAATAGACAACTGGAGTGGTGGTGAACGTGAAGAATTGCAGAACAGACTTTGTTGTGACGCTGTACGAGTGTGAACGGTATGTATGCTACTAATTAATCTCACTATAGTCCATCATATGAACCAATTGCTCTCAGCATTTGGAGGTGTTTTAGAACACATGTTTTGTCCATTTTGGTATTTTTTATACCCACCCATTCTATAAAATGGCTCTGGTTCACCATGGTGATTAGAAGCTAAATAACATTACGAGTTAAATTATCGGTTAGCGACCTCGTTCGAGAAAAGGTTTTTATAAATTCCTAAGCACAGAATGGAACTTTTTTCGGCCGACACTCGTTGCAACATCTGTGTTGATAAGTTATCGATGGATTACAAAAAATCTAGGAAAAGCGTTCTGTGAGCGAAAATAAACTACCAGAAAGAAAATGACCCATATAGGAGTCATTCCGGCGACTCAGGGCCCCACATACGTATAGTTGTATAGAATGTACACTGTCGGCTACGTATTAATCACAAATATTAAAGAGATATAAGGCATTCTTACGTGGCCAGGTTAATAAGCGTACCAGGTGAACAGTTTCCAGCCCTATCACCACCTGTATCACATGGCCTCACCGTTAATTGCCTCAAGATCAGTCACAGACGTGAAATCCGAAATACACCCACATTATTCTTCTTCGTATTGATAAGATTTATTGTGTCTTAGCGATCTCGTAATTATTTTCTACAATTTTAGATTATGGCGTCTGGAAGAGAGCTGTGCTACTGTATGATTGCTGGTATCTCGATGTGCTATATCCTCACATTCCTTCTCGTCTCACAACCATCTATTCCAACCTGTGCTTTCACTAGGGTCAGTATGATCAATATCCCAATGCCAAATTTTCCTTATGATCCATAAAGTTTAACTGCTAAGCACAAGTAAATCGATTAAACTCATATAATAAAATCGGACAGAGTTTACGATATGAGAGAATTTTGTTGATAACCATTTCTCACAGCGTCGACAAAATCGCAGCATTGTAGGAACTTCTAGGAATTTTCGACTAACTTATGAAATTGTAGGAAGCCATCTTCACATTCGAAAGGCAGCATTTGTAAATTCTACAATTCAAAGAAACTCGGATGTTACGTCCACTAAGAATTTTATGGATCACAGGGAAAGAGATGTAGTCTTCCAAATTCGATACAGTAATTTTAAAGAATAGGAGGATTTCTAGGTTTATCCATTTGGATCTACTAATTGGTAATATCATAGCAGCTGATACCATTTTCTCAGCCTATATGTTACTCTTTTACTCAGATCAGATTCAGGTATTAATGGGTCTATCGATGTCGGCTATCTACGCAGCTATCATTACGAAAACAAACCGCTTGGCAAGGGTTTTTAAACCTGATGGTGCTCAGCGACCGCGGTTCATTACTCCGAAAGCGCAAGTAGAAAATTCCGTCGTTTCTATCTTATGTTCAACAAGACATACATTACAACCTATTAAGCAGAGTTTAGACATGACTCAGTCATGTTTTACTTGCATTTACTGCTTATTACTTTTTTACATGGTAGGGTTTTACGCAAAACTCAAAGCTTCAGGTGAGCTTCATGTCTGCCAATAATCTTTTCGGGAGTTGACGTGTTATCCACTGCACCATCGAGGCCCTTTTCTTGACTTTCTGTGCTCAAGCTTTTTACCCTAACCGTACTACCAAGGCATTGCTCGTAAACGTCGATGATTTGGGGAGCATAAATCAGTACTGAACTCGGTTAAGCTGGAGCTGCAGTGGAAATCGCAATGTTTAACTTTTATTTATTGCCTATTACTTTTTTCCACGGCAGGGCATTAGGTGAAATATAACTACAAGGATGCTGAGATATGAGTAGAGCTCGGTACTTCAGGTGGGTTTTGAAGTTTGAACTTGTGTTTCCTAGACCATTCCCGTTCAAGAGTGATTGCTGTTGGCACCGTTAGGCTAAAACATTGCCCAAGAGAGTGGCAAAGCAAGAGCCTCGATAGTGCAGTGGAAAACACGTGAGCCCCTCGAGAAGGCATTCTAGAGCTCGAAGCTCACCTGAGACTCGTACATTTTATTCTATGGTAATATGTCTCTTCGGTTTAGATTTCATTTGGGATATGGCTGTCTTTTCTCTTTTGCTCATTAAATGTATCAAGATTTTCATTTATTTTTTTTGCAATAACACTGGACACTACTCAGTTTTCTCCCAGGTCGGAATATGTGCGTCGATCGTGTCGGTCCAATTGGCTGGCTCAATCGTCTGGCTGTTAGTGGATCCACCAGGCACAAAAGTTGTGTTCCCATCTCGTACGGAAGCTGTACTTACTTGCAAGGTTGGATATGTTGTTCACCATCCCTCCATATATCATCCTTACCGTAATTTCCCGTTTTAGGCCACTGCTTCTCACCTTCTGGTCTCACTATCCTACAATCTGGTACTCATCATTGCTTGTACCGTTTATGCATTCAAAACGCGGAAGATTCCTGAGAATTTCAACGAGACTCGACATATTGGTTTTACCATGTATAGTACCTGCATTTTGTGGCTATCGTTTGGCCCAATCTATTTTGCAACGCAAAATAATTTTCGGGTAAGTTGAGGGGAAGACTCATACATTTTATCTGATTTTTTTCTTCTTGAACATAAGATGGATTTTTGTAGTAGATATAATGAAATAAAATCATTAGAAATGAAAAATAAGGCTCTCAGCGTTCATCATTAATCTCTGAGGGATGCGCTATGCATTGGACTTCATTAAGCATCGTTAGAGGTGATTGAATGCACATCCGACCTTTAAAGTGACTCGCGGTGGCCTACCGATGTATCGAGCCAGTGCTGCTATCCTCCTAGACAAATCTGGTAGCAAATTTCCGACCCCGGAGGGATGGAAGGCATGGTGGGCCTAGAGCGCGAGGGTCGATGCTAGGCGTATTGAAGGGCGCACCTAACCACTGCGCTAAATGCGCCCCTAAATAATCTAGATATCACATATATGTTCCTATTTACTATAATCTAACCTAAATGCTTGCCTTACTCGTTTTGGTAAGTGGAGTGAGAAGAGTAAAAATCACTCCAAAATATGAGAATAGTGTAAAATATTAGAGTTATTTGCTACCTGGGTGCTAGTCGTCAGACTCTCTTAAATTTTATCAGATGATAGCATATTATTTAATATTACCACCGATAATTTGTTTTTAATTGTTACAGATCCAAGTCACTTCGTTATGTATGTGCATTTCACTGTCGGGTACGGTGGCATTGGTGTGCTTTTTTGCACCAAAGGTATGATCTGGCACGCCTTAAGTAGCAATCAAAGTTTCGCACTATTATTTATTGCTAACTACTGATGTGATCTTGATACGTTTGAGGATTCTTCTTGTTGAATGATGCTTTTGTTAGCCGATTTTGGCTCAAGTGAACTGTAGATCTTCCTAGCTGCTTTGAAGGATAGAACAACACCTCTTGTATTTTAGTCATGGAATGTTTTCCTTAAAAGGATAAAGGATAAAGCTGTTGGCGTTGATCAATCCCTGGGGAGTGCGCCATGCGTTCGACTTTATTTAGAATCGTTCGGAGGTGACTGAATGCATTGCTGGCCTTTATAATGATTCGCGGTGGCTTACCGATGCTTCGAGCCAGTGCTGCTATCCTCGCAGACAAGTCTGATACCAACTGACCGGCTCCGGAGGAATGGAAGGCTTGGTGAGCCATCGGCGTGAGGACCGATTCCACGTGTGTGTTGCAGGGCGCCGCCGACCACTGCGCTGTTTTCCTTATTGTTTGACAATTAGCATTCTCGATAGACCCATACAAAATTTTGAAAGCAGTTAAATGCGTTGAGAACAGTACCCTTTTTCAAATTTTGCTTTGCTTTCAGTTTTTTTTCGAATATCGCTAAAAGTAGGTATGCGGCGGAATCCTGCACGTGAGTCATATACGGCTTACATTGTCAGCTAATGTGCTAATAATATAGAGAGTAAGGTCTCTTATTTGTCACAGTACCATCGAAATAGCGCGAATTTTTTTTGTTAAATGTAAGCAATGTTGTAGAACCGGTACGAGGACATGGTCAAATCTCGTGTCTATTTCATGGTTGTTTTTATTGGTTTAAGGGTTTATTGGATTTTTATCTTAGCACTATTAAGGTGTACATTGTGCTCTTCCAACCATATAAAAACGTCAGAACGAGGCAGTCTGCCGTCGGAAGATTAGTTAATCAACAAATGCGATTTATGAGGTAAGCCAACCTTTAATACTTATCGTTCCATTAGATGTCCTGCATGTATATGCATCCTTGCCATTCGTACATTCTGTAGAACATACCCTTTCCAGAATATCCCTTTTTACTCTTTAGCTTTTTTAGTGATTGTTTTCATGGAAGACCTTTCATCTCAATAAGCCATAGGCAGTTACGATGATTTATGTCCCTTCCACGATTTCTTCCTGTTGACTCTGGTCCGTCATCATGGAAATTTTCGTGATGCCATATGTTTTCAGTCAGCTAACGTGCAATCAGGATGGTATTTCTACATACAAGCCCATTTCAACTGCATCCAATAATTCCTACAAACCTGGATGTTGGTGATTTTGTCACGGATTTTACTAACCCTTAAATAGTGCATGCTTCTCTAGATAGAACAACAATTCATCCATTTTCCTCACGACAATAATTAGTCTGATAAGTGACGATTACATTGTAATAGCATGAAGACCGACCCACCTTACCTTCTTTTTTTTCAGCGGAAGAGAATTCACATGGCAGTACTCAAGCCTCTATGGTACATCCGCTGCCACCGTTACATGTAGTGGAGAAAGTCGACAATAACAACGGACCACAAAAAACGAAGTTCGGTCAGTGAATCGACCATGGTCAAGGCTATGCACAATTTTTGTAGCGTTTGTAAAACATCGTCTAAGCTTAAAAATGGAATATGATTTTAGGTTCATATAGAGCTAATCCACGGATGCGTGTGTCGTAGTGGTCGGAGGCGCCCTACAATACACACGTGTGATCGATCCCCACTCCCATGCCCACCAAGCCTTCCATCCTTCCGAAGTCGGAAACTTGGTACCAGACCCAGATTTGTCTGGAAAGATAGCAGCACTTGCTCGATACATCGGTAGGCCAGTCGCCTCCAACGATGTTTTATGAAGTCGAATGCATGTGCCATCCCTCAGGGATTGATCAACACCGAGACCTTTATCCTTTATTTATCCTTTGTAGAGTTATTCCATCGGTATTTTGATCTGTATTGAAAATGAACACCTACAAAAGCAGTATTTCCGTGCGAGCTTCAAAAGCTTCATGCTACTGCAGTGTTTTGTCTACTGTATTCAAATGATCACATATAGTGCGAAAATAATGAAACTGTTGTGTCGTTGTGTTTCGTTCAACGTTTGAATATTCGAAAACGTAGCAGTCACTTCGTTTTTCGGCCTACGATAAATACCCTGACAGGTATTTGACTTACTTAATTGCTTAACGAAAGATGATTGAAGGTTAGTGATTCTGTACACCATTAGCAGCGGTTATGTGACACTTTGTGTAATCGCCGATTGGTGGGAAGTCAGTAATTGATGCACGACGTTTTTGAACCGACCAGATCTCTTCTATATGGATTTTTCCAGACAACAAGCTCTCAGTTAAAGAAGAGGAAGAGAGTCCTGATTTATTGGCGACGAACGACATACGTCGACAACATTCGACCGTGTTCTGCGCCGTGATACCGGACGTAATGCGACCACTACCGCTATCTACGAAAACGTCAACCTCAACGAAGGAATGCGAGTCACAAATTTCGCTTATCCTAGAAGAGATCGCCACCGATCCTCATGTGACATTTCTCTAATCTTCTTTTATGGAACGATTCTTCTAGTCAGTGAAACTACGGTGCTAGCCGACACTATGGTTTAGAAATCGCCATTCTCATGTTTGCATAGGGTATGCATAGATTCAAAGATGACAGACTTCATAAGTTGTGCTCATTATGTCACTTATGTAGATTTGACTCACAAATTCTGATGTTCTTGTAGTTCCATTATTTGAAAAAAAGAATCCTCAGAATAGACGTGTCTCTGCACGATGTGTCCCGAATCCTTACATTTTCGTTAAGATCAGCTAAGCTATAGTTCTTCTTGTATTTCTATCCTTAAGTTGTCGGATTACCTAGCTTGTCAGTCATTCTTTTATCTTTCTGTGACCAATAGGAATCAGGCTGAAGCGCCTTTTTCTATTGTATATTCTTACACTTATCAAAATGTTACGGGTGCCACATAGAAAGCTCAAAACGTTGGTAAGTTTTTGATTTTATCCCTAGTTTTGTCAAATTTTATCAACCACTATCCAGGGGTTTGTGGCTAAACCAGCTTCTTGTATCGATCTAAGACAATCCTACTAATTTCATGTTCATAAGAAGTTAATGAAGTCGATGTCTGCCTTTTCCTCTCCTCATCTTTCCATACTTTTCTACCTTCGATCTTGTTATACTTCTTTACTTTGCATACCTTTTCAAACGTGAGAGTCGTATTCTTTCAAATACGTCATTGCTTCTTATCCTTACATGTTTTGATCTCCACATTACCACTATTTATATTTTTACAGAGATTCCGCCTATATGGGTGCTTAGCTTCCCAACGTAACTACTCCACTGGTCTTCTGGTTGATAACTGTGGTGCTGAGAGAGCTTTAAAATATATCCTTTTATTATACGTTTTAACTAGTTAGTTCACATCCATAGGTTTTCCACTCATCTCTTCCCAGGGCTTTTCTGTGAGTTCCCGAAGAATTTCATAAAGTACTTATGATTGTCCGATGCTTGTTATCACTGTTACCACCTACTACATATGTGTTTAATTGTGTCTTAGAGCTGCCAAAATAAATTTCGAGATGATTTATTTGCCTCTATATGTGTTACCTCAACCGTAAGCTAACTTAAACGCTGTTGTCAAAAGTTGCTATTATTGTGGAAGACATCGCGATGACTAGAAAAGAACTACCACTTCCTCTTCGGTTGAGAGAAAGGCGAAACGAGAGACCCGTATGGTGTGGTGCTGTACACAGCCCTAGGAAAGGATAATGACGAGTTCGATCCCAAAGTTTTATCTATATCGCTCCAGAATTTTGCAAATACCTCAGCATCATTGTGGTTATATTTCACACCGTGCCCTACCATGAGAAAGGAATAGGTGGTTAATAAGAAGTGACTATATCAGTTCACTTTCACCCGTTTAGAATCATGTCTTTCACTGAGGTTTCACGGAGGTTAATGGCGAACGAGTTTAAGAATATTAATACATCGTCACATTAGTATTTCAGGGTGAGATTAAATGGAATTCAGACTATAAGGGCCTACTACTCTATTTTCCACTTTTTGTTAAGCATAGGACTAAAAATCTGATCGACTGTTAAATAGTCGGAGATTGTGAGATATTTGCAAAACTCTGGACAGCAGGTGTCTGCGGTGGTGAACGCGTTACTCTCCGGAAAGGACAATAGCGCTATTGTAGCGTTCGTTCCCCACCATAGACACCTGCGGTCTAGAGTTTTGCAAATATCTCAGCAACGTTGTGGTTGTATTTCGCTTAGTACCCTGCCGCGAAATTATAGTAGGTAGAAAATAAAAAGGTATAACAAACACGGAGTATTATTTTATTCCTTTATTTACGCACAAGCTGACGTATCGACGGATTTCGCCTTCCTCAGAGCCGCGAATGGTCAAGTTGACACGTCAGTGTGCCGAGAAGCTGATCTATGTTCAATGTGATTGAAATCTTGGTTCAGCATTTCCTCTACTTAGTTATGGAGGTGTTTGGCTGGATAGGTTGCAGTCAACTTGACCTTTCCAGGCTCTGAGGAAGGCGAAATCCGTCGAAACCTGAGCTTGCTCTTGAATAAAGAATAAAATAACACCTCGTCTTTGCTCAACGAAAAGATAAGCAGTGGTTCTTTTCCTTCTTCCAAATATTGGATTTCCATGATGAACAGCATGATATAAGTATATGGGAGTTTAGGATTTAGAGAGCTGTAATGAAAAAAGTCATGTGTAACTCTAAAAATTGGTTTCATTCAACGGATATAATATAAAAAGAGTTCATATGAAACCCTAAGAATAGCCTTGCCTTTCAGTCCCTAACTCCCATAATGAATAGATGACTATCAATAGCTAATAAGACTGAATGACTTCTAAACGCTTTCGAACTACTATAAAACCGTGATCTAATGACTTTCGGAATTCATTTGAATAGCGATTTAGATGTCTGGTTGGCACCATTAGATCTCTCCTGTGGACGAGTTTTCATGAAGGGATATTGCGGGCGCTACCACATAATTGCAGCGATTGACGACTTGTCGAATGAGGAAGAACGTTACTTTCCAACCCTATAATGTATTATGACCTCTCGCTTCGAACGAAGAATTCTGCTCTAAACCTTAGCCAGCTTCATTAACAAGAACCTGCTGCCATAGGCTCTAAAGCAGCTGAATAAACTCGTCCGAAAAAATGCCGTTTGACGCGTATTTTAAAGTGTAGAACAGAGATCGACGGTCGACGCTCGCCACAACATCTGTGTTAGACAAGTTGTGGATTTAATACAAAAAATATAACTACTATAATGCTAAGATATTTGCAAAACTCCGGACCGCAGGTGTCTGCGGTGGGGAACGAACACGCTATTGTCCTTTCCGGGGAGTAACGCGCTCACCACCACACCATGCTGGTCCTTCGCTTCGCCTGTCTCTCAGCTAGTTCGATCGATCTTTTGCCATCAGCAATCACCCGTCAACGGGATTGATCTGGGAAGCACAAATCAGCATTGAGCCCAGTTAACTGCTTATGAACGGCAAGTACGAAGTAAGTCTGTCTTCATTTGATGTCCCAAGTTTTCGATGCCACCACTTTCCCAAGTAGTNGAAAGCAAGTAGCCTGGTCTATCACTTTGAATCTAGGAAGGTTCCCCAAAAGACGTAGGCCTAAAAATGTCGAACTCCTCAGCTATAGATATATGCATATACATATATGTACATACATGTACTTATGTAGCTCACTTATATCAATTGAAATCCCCTGTGGCGAACAAGGCCTGCCCAATGGACTCAATCCACTTGAGTGACACGAAAAGCATCATTCGTGTCCAGTTTTACAACCTGCTATCGGCCAAGTCTTCGCTTATTCTCTGTTGCCCAGTTGTGTCTTCCTTATCTAGCAGCTATGAGGCTTGTTTATTGAAGGCGATCACGGACAGC